CAGGGAGCCAGGAGCTTTTCCCAGATCTCCCCTGTGGGTGCAGGGGCCCAAGAACTTGCGTCATTTTCCACTGCTTTCTCAGACACATTAACAGAGAGCTGGATCCGAAGTGGAGCAGCCAGGAATTGAACTGCTGCCCATATGGGATGCTGGCGCTGCAAACTGAGGGTTAACCTGCTGCACCACTGCATTTGCCCCTGATCCCCCCCTCCCTTTTTTTAAGGTTGATTTATTTGAGAGGTAGAGTTACAGACAGTGAGAGGGAGAGACAGAGGGAAATGTCTTCCATCCACTGGTTCACTTCCCAAATGGCTGCAACGGCTGGAGCTGCGCCGATCCGAATCCAGGAGCTTCTTCCAGGTCTCCCACTCAGGTGCAGGGACCCAAGGACTTGGGCCATCTTCTGCTGCTTTCCCAGGCCACAGCAGAGAGCTGGATTGGAATTTGGAGGAGCAGCCGGGACTCGGACCGGCGCCCATATGGGACACCGATGCCGCAGACAGAGGCTTAGGCTACTAAGCCACAGCACTGGCACCAGATCCTGCTTCTTAAAAACCTGCCTGGGAAGGCATGGAAAGGCCTGAGTACTTAACATGAGACCCAAATGGAATTCCTGGCTCTTGGTTTTTGCCAGGCCTAGCCCTGGGTGTTGTGGACATTTGGAAAGCGGCAGGGGGGAGGTCTCTGTCTCCTTTTCTATCACTCTTCCTTTTAAATAAATAAATCTTTAGGAAAAAAACGTGTTTAATGTTAGAATTGGAAAAAGCTGAAGAGTAGATGCCCCGGCGTTATTGCCTGTACTTTCCGTACGTTTGAACTATGCCATTCAAGTGAACGCACTGCGGAGCAGGTGCAGCGGCAGCCGGGCATAGCTTAGGGAGTGCCTGGGGTCCGAGAGTGCGTAATGTCCTCGTGAGGAGGCGGCAGCAGGTGAGTCCAGCCGGCTGCCTACCGTGAGGCTGCGCGAGCCTCGGCTGGCGCCTGCACAGCCAGGGAAACCTGTTTCCCTGACTTCATTCCCGAAGACCAGTCCGCGCTCAGTTTTGCAACAGCTCATGTTCAGAACGCCTGCCAGGAGTCTGTCAGTTGGGTTCGTATTTCAGAGAATGTGTGAGTTTTTTACCACTTCTGACGGGATTCCAGAGTATGTTACCGTTCCCTGTCAGGGAGAGTTCCCCTTCTGCTTCATGAATTCTCCAGTATACCCAAATATGGCTTCCTTCAGTTCACCTGTCTCGGTTACTTGCGATTTGGACACATTTAGACAAAGTGATTTTGCCTTAGCAATTGAGAGCACAGAAGTAGGACTTGAAACCTATCTGAAACATTTTTCACTGTTGCTTCCCAGTGCTATTCCAAGACCAATCATTTCTCGATTATTTTATCATCTCTTAATAGGATTGCTCATTGAGGAACAGCTTCCTGAAAATGGGTTCGGGCAGAGGCGCCTGGGCCGCGGCCTGTCCGTTAAGGGGGACTGAGCAGAGGCACACATGGGGCCCGGAGACTGAGGCAGGCCCTGCGAGTGTGGAATTTAGGCAATTCCGGGGCTCTGTGTTCCCGCTCAGGGCCGTTGAGTTCATGGTTTTTCTTTTGGTCAAGATTGGGGGGGGTCCTTGTGTTAGCACCTGGGCCCCCCCAAGACTCAGCGTCCTCATCTGAGAAGCAGGGTTGCTGCCACCCACTCTCAGTCCTGCTGTGGCCGTGGAAGCGCGTGTGCGATGTGCCTGCGGTGTGTGAGCCGTGGGGGCAGGGCTCTGCCTGTGGCTCAGCTGGGGGCTCTTGTCTCCTGGTGCTCCTGGTTTTGGTCTGGATCTGCCACAGTGCTCCAGTTGAGGCAGGTGACAGCCATGACAGCCACCTGAGTACCACAGAGCCTCTGACTTCCTGCAGAGGCTCCCTGCAGGACAGCGCCAGAAGTGTCGTGGCGGCGCTGCTGCGGCGTTGTCCCCCGAGAGGCGTAGGTGAGCAAGCGCAGTGCCCGATGGCGGCCTCGGCGCTCTGCACCCCTGCTGAGGAGGATCTGGTGGAGTTCGCGTGAAGAGAGCCAGGGCGCAGCTCCAGCCAGTTACTCTGCGACTTAGAATCGTAGTCGAATTTGAGTAGAGAGAGGTTTGTCCTTTGTAAGAATTTTCAGATACACATAAAAGAGTGGGAACAGTTCAGGAACCCCCAGGTACCATCAGCCAGCTTCAGCGGTACGCGTTCTGTCTTCCACGATTCCTGTCTTAGTCCACGTTCCTCAGGACGGATCTCACTGAGACAGCAGGGTGGCCCTCCTCTTCCCCCAGCCCAGCACATGTGAGCCGCCATCTGCAGACAAAATGGCTTCCCAGGCCTGCAAGACTGGTCGGAGGCAACAGCAAGTGTGTGTACAGGAAGTGTGTCCGGGCAGGCTGTGAGCACCTGGCTGGTGGCGCCCTGCCCAAGCTGTGTGCTGGCAGCTGCCTGGCAGGCACAGCCAGCTTGCCTTGGTCCGAACAGCCTGCTCTGTGTGCACTTGCTGTCTGGGGTGCTGTGTGGGTGAACAGGCCACTCCGTCTGCCAAGGGTCGGTTTGCTCAGTGTAGACGAGTCAGCAATGCCGTGGTTCCGTGTGTCTCGAGGGCTCTGTTAGCTGCGGTCAGCATGCCCGCTGGTGCTGAGCAGACACTGGAAAGATGCGCGCCAGGTCTGGGCAGTGCCACGGTGGATTCATCAAGGTGACGGCCACCCAGGCCTTGACGGGCTGTTTTTCTCTTGCTCTTCCCATGTGCTGAGGCTCCGCACCCCATGCAGAGCGTGTATCTGGCTGTGAGAAGCTAGCCCCCCGCTTCATTCTGCGGTGTGGGCGCTGCTGGTTCCTCTAGCTGACCTGGGCTGCGTCGGGCTCTCCCTCGGGTTTTTCTTTGTTGTGGTTGTGCTGTAGTTCACCTGTTGACGGTGTATAAGTCCTCTCTGTGACCAGAGTGACCCAGGGCCCCAACAGAGCTGCCCTGCCTCTGTGGCCCTGGAGAACCCCTGCCTTGATGATGTTTGTGGGGCCAGAGCGAGGCCCTGGGGGGTCCTCCTTGTCTGGTCTTGTTGGTGGCAGCTGTGTGGGCTGGGCAGAAGCATGCACCAGGGGACTCCTGCTGGTCTGCTCTGGGACCTTTGGCTCACCAGGAATACCTGCTGCACGTGTCCTCCCAGCTGGTTCTGCTGAATGTGTTACAGGCAGAAGGTACTCCTGGGTTTTAAAATTTACCATTAAATCGCTCATTTTAAGTATAAGATTTGGGGCCAGTGCAGTAGCATCCTGGGTAAAGCAGCCATCTGCACTGCTGGCATCCCACGTGGGCACCAGTTGGAATCCCAGCTACACCACTTCAGTCCAGCTCCCTGCTAATGTGCCTGGGAAAGCAATGAAAGATGGCCCAAGTCCTGGGCCCTTGTACCTATATGGGAGACTCGGAAGAAGCTCCTGGCTTTGGCCTGGACCAGACCTGGCCATTGCAGCCATTTGGGGAATGAACCAGGAGGTAGAAAATCTCTCTTTCTCTCTGCCTCTACCTCTCTGTAACTCTGCCTTTCAAATAAATAAATCTTTTTTAAAAGATAAGATCCAAAGACATTGGTGCAACCGCCACCATGGTCCTATTCTAGAGCATATCCATCCCCCAAAGATCCTGGTGCCCACCCCACCCCCAGCACCATGCAGCGCCTGTCTGTGTCCTGCCTCTGTTGGTTTGCCTTTTCTGAATAGAATTGGTTTCATTCAAATGAAAGGTTCAGATAAATGGCTTTTTAATGAAGATTAATTGATTGATCGTTACTAAAGCAAAGTAACAGAGAGAAAGGGAGCTCTTATATCTGCTGGTTCCCTCCCCAAATGCCTGCAGCAGCCCAGGCTGAGCCAGCCTGGAGCCAGGAGTCTGGAGCCCCTCTGGCTCCCACAGGTGGGTGGCAGGGGTGCTGTCACCTGCTGCGTCCCACGATGCACATTAGCAGGAAGCCGGATTGGCAGTGGAGCCGGGACTGGAAGCAGGCTCTCAGAGGGGTGTGGGCATCTTAAGTGGCGCCCTCACTGCTGCGCCAGGTGCCGCCCTGAGCGTCCACTCCTCGGGTCCTCCAGGAAGGGGCTCAGTTGGTGCAGATGACACCTCTAGCACATGTTCATCTTTAGCTTTCTTTTTTTTTTTTTAAGATTTATTTATTTATTTGAAAGTCAGAGTTACACAGAGAAAGGAGAGGCAGAGAGAGAGGTCTCCCATCCACTGATTCACTCCCCAGTGGGCTGCAACGGCCAGAGCTGTACTGATCTGAAGCCGTGAGCCAGGAGCCTCCTCCGGGTCCCCCATGCAGGCACAGGGGTCCTAGGACTTGGGCTATCTTCCACTGCTTTCCCAGGCCTCCACAGAGAGCCGGATCAGAAGCAGAACAGCTGGGACCCGAACCAGCGCCCACTGGGATGCCGGCACTGCAGGTGGCGGCTCCCCCTGCCATGCCACAACCCCAGCTCCTCATCTGTAGCTTTTTAAGACAGTGCGCCGACCTTAGTCTCGTGTAGGCCGTCTGGCTGGGATTTTGTAATACTCTTTTGTTTCCCTTTTCTCAGAATAAGGAAATCCCAGGCCAGTGTGTAGACGGGCGCCGTCCTGGAGTGGAGCAGGCGTACTGAGCTGCCTGTGGCCTGGGTGTGAGTGGGGAACTGGAGTCGGGGGCTGCTTCCTGGGGCTCTTGTAGGGATTTCAGGGTGAAGTGGCCTGGGAGGACAGGGGGCAGCCTGCAGGGTCCCGGCATCTGCTGTGCCTCTCACAGTCACACCTTTGGGCAGAGGTGTCCGTCTTCGCTCAAGGGACAGGGACAGAAGCAGTGGCAGGTGCAGCACAGCCGGTGGCGGGGCTGGCGTGTCTGTCAGGAGGAAGGAATCGCCGCAGCCAGGGCCCCGTGGCTCTAGGGAACTTCTCAGAGGACCTGGGAAATGGTGAGGCCCTCCCTGGTCAGGACTGCCCCACACTCACAGTTCTGCCTGTGTTTCAGACTTGTGCCGCGCTTCGCAGGAGGTGGGGCGATGCCGGGCCTCCATCCCCCGGTGGTGGTACAACGCCACCGCCGGGTCCTGCCAGCAGTTTGTGTATGGTGGCTGTGAGGGGAACGACAATAACTACCAGAGCGAGGAGGAGTGTCTCGAGAGGTGCGCTGGCGTCACAGGTGAGCGCGTCTCGGAACTCTGTGCTGTCCAGAGGCGGGCTGTCCGCTGCGCGTGTGCGCCTTCTGTCCCATGCTGGTCTCCACGGCCGCACTCAGGCCAGGCCGCCACCTTGCTCCCTGGGTGCTTGGGGTTTTCTCCTCTGGGACAGATGACCTGAGAAGCCCACTCAGCCAGGTGAGGAGTCGCCTTCCAGCGGGAATGGGTGTCCTGGCATGCAGCCTGCTCGCGGCCCTCACCGACAGGGGCTCTGTGGGATCAGCCGTGCCTGGAACCAGCGGGAGCCCCAGCAGTGGGCCTGGCTCCACGGGAGCTGGGGCAAGGAGAGGAGGCCCTCTGGGGCCTGCTCATGCACTCGATCCCGAGAGCTGGGGCTTTGGTGCCCAGATCCTCTTGGGAAGCTCATGAGGGCGCTCTCCCGACGTGAGTGTGATTTCCGGCTCTCTTCCTGACACCCTGGTGCTGGGCCCCTGGCGCGCTCCGCACGCTGCTGGCAGCTGTGAGCCCTGCACGTACACCCCCCAGCCTGCTGTCTGCACTCGCTGGGATCGCTCTCGGCTTTGAGCTGTGCACACAGAGAGCAGAGAAGCTGTGACGGAGGAGAAAACGGGGATGGCCCTGGCTGGACCCCAGGGTGAGGCCCACAGCACTGTGCCCCGAGCTGGGGCAGCTTCAGGTCATCACGGCAGGGCCTTCCCCTTGCGGGGTGACGGCAGCCCCGCTGGACGGGGACTGAGGGAAGGGTGCGTGGTGTTTCCGTGTCACCAGCTGTGAGGATTTTGCCGCCTCTCCTGTGCGCTCCCCATGAGGCGCCAAGTAGCGCAGACACCTGCCCGGGCTCAGGGCGGGACAGCTGAACACGGCAGAGGCGCTGGGCGCCGAGGCAGACTGCCGCCCGGAGCCGGGAGGTGCTCACCTTGAGGGCCACGCAAGCCCGTTTGTCTGCCTCAGCGCTGCTCCCGCGCGTCCGTGGGGAGAACAAGTGCCTGAGCAGCCGTCGCTGCAGTCCTTGGCTGGCGCCTTCTGCCTGGGCAGGCGAGCTCTGTGGGGAGCCAGGGAGCGAGGATGGCAGTGCATGAATCCATGCCGGAAGCCGGAACCGCCCAGGGTCCAGACACTCCCGTCCCTGGGCCTGCGCCTTTTCTCCTCCGAGCCAGCCTCTTGGCAGGGGCAGAACAAGAGGAGCTGCCTGCAAGGGGACTGTTAACGTCAGGTTAGGCCAGCCCGGGCTGGTCCCTGGGACCAGTGGGGGGCCCCGAGTCAGGGTTCCCTCCCTTCCTGGCTGGCTGGTCTCTCCACCCCTGTTTAACTTGTGGGGCTGGGAGGGGTCAGTGAACTGACCACGCTGTCCACTGTGAAGTGTATTGTCCAGGAATAGTCAGTGCATTCTCACGTGCACCCCTTAGCTTTTTTAATTCTGTGGATGAGTAGATACAATTAGATTATTTGACCTGCAAGTCTGTTTTGATTCCCTTCTGGTTGATTTTTTTTTTAATAGTTATTTATTTATCTGAAAGGCAGACTTAGAGAGAGAGAGACATCTCCCCCTATCTGCTGGTTCATTCCCCCAAATGGCTACAGTGGCCAGAGCTGAGCCAATCTGAAGCCAGGAGCTTCTTCTGGGTCTCCCATGTGGGTGCAGGGGTCCAACCACTTGGGCCATCCTCCACTGCTTTCCCAGGCCACCAGCAAGGAGCTAGATTGGAAGTGGAGCAGCTGGGACTTGAACTGGTGCTCAGAGGGGATGCTGGCATGGCAGGCAGCGGCTTAACCCACTGCACCTCAGCACTGGTCCCCTTCCAGTGAGCTTCAAGTTTGATCCTCAGAGGCCATCCTGGTTCCGTATCTCTGAGTGTGGCAGGCATGCTGTGGTCTAGTCTGCCTTGAAGGCCCCAGGTAAAGCAGAAATGGGAGTGGCCATGAGAGGCACAGCTGCTCCGAGACCGCATTCAGAGTTTTCATTGGGCGGTCTCGGGACGGCTGTGCTCACTGTGTGGTTTGTTTATCCCCTTGCAGAAAATCCCAGTGATGAGGAGGTCACCAGCAGGAATGGAGCTGACGTCTCTGTCCCGAGTGGTAGGTTCTTGACAAGGGCCCATGATGGTGGAATGAGGCCCCACGTGTGGTAGGGGGAGGCCACTTGGGAGTTTGGGATTGCAAAAGCCTCCTGCCTCCTGCTTCTGTGCCCTGAGATGCAGCAGGCTAAGCCCAGGCCCCCAGCCTCCTACCTCCTGCTTCTATGCTCTGAGACGTAGCAGGCTAGGCCCAGGCCCCCAGCCTCCTACCTCCTGCTTCTGTGCCCTGAGATGCAGCAGGCTAAGCCCAGGCCCCCAGCCTCCTACCTCCTGCTTCTATGCTCTGAGACGCAGCAGGCTAAGCCCAGGCCCCCAGCCTCCACCTCCAGCTTTCCTCTGTGGAGGGGTTCTCTGGGGCTCAGGCCCCCACCCTGCCCTCTGGGCTGCTGGCTGCACTTGCGGCCCCCCCCCCCCCCATTCCGCCTCCTCTGCTCCTCGTTGTCACTGCTGTCTCCTCCCTGCTCCACGGCCGGCCTTGATTGCGCTCTGTGTCAGCTTGCTTTGTAGTGCTGGTGGCAGCCGCCCCTGCCTCCTTTATGCTTAAAGGACTCTGCATCGGGAGCCTGGGGTGAGTGGTCCCGATGCAAGTAGCGTACATACCCTGAGGGGCCAGCCCGGCTCTCCCAAAGGCCGTCCCCGGGGAGCGGGTCCTGCCAGGCCAGTGGGACAGACCGCGAGGGCACAGACACCAGCACCCCTACAGCAGGCCGAGGTCGGTGGCTGTCGGGATGCTTCAGAGTCCGGCTGGAATGACTTCGGTTCAGCCCGGCCAGGAGCTGTGTGACTGTCCCGGCCTTGCTTTGCCTGGGTCCGCGTTTACTCCCTGGCGGGGCGCTCTCAGCTCACCCAGAGCACCCGGGGAGGGGTGGGAGAGAGCCTCCCCGTGCAGCCGTGTGCCGTGTGCGTGCCCGCCTCCTGACGCACGTGTTTGTGTTTCAGTTTCCAGGAGGCAGGATTCGGACGACGCCTCTGGTGATGGCTTCAGCTATGAAGGTATATAGCTCCGGAACTTTCTCTGTGGGCGCTAGGCAGGGCTTCGGGGCGGCTCCCTGGGGCCGAAGTTGGGTGGCAGAGTGCTGTTCTGGTGTCCCCTCACCAGCTCTGGCTGAGGGCTGTGTGGAGTGAGGGTCCCAGGACAGAGCCCCCGGAGTCCAGTGCGTGCAACGTGCCGAGAGCCGTGCTGGCACACAGCGAGGTGTCAGAGGGTGGAGAGCAGACTGCCAGGTGCTTGGGCCGTGTCTGGCCGACAGCCTCTACCAGACGGCAGCCCCTCCGCTGGCCACCAGCCCTCTCCTGGGTCCTGCTGATCTCTTCCCGGGGCTCCCTTTCCCTTGCTCCCTTTAGAATACTGCACTGCCAAGGCAGTCACCGGGCCCTGCCGTGCGGCCTTCCCGCGCTGGTACTTCGATGCTGAGAAGAACTCCTGCGACAAGTTCATCTACGGAGGCTGCCGTGGCAACAAGAACAGCTACCCGTCCCAGGAGGCGTGCATGGGCCGCTGCTTCGGTGAGCCCCCCGCCCCGGGATGCCTGGCTTTGGGACCCCGCTGGGCTGGTGGCCTCCGCCCCCAGAGTGGGTAGGGGCCCTCGGGAGGAGCTCCCTGGTGGGTGCGGGCCCCACGCCGAGCCTTCCTGGTCGGTGCAGCTCTGTGCTCACCTCGGCTGTGTGTTCTCTTGCAGGCAAGCAGGGGTACCCTGCCCTGCCCACTAGCAGTAAAGGTGAGTGGCCCTGCCCCCCCCCCCCCCGACCCCTGCCCCTGCCCCTGCCCCTGCCGGCCTTGCCAGAGCTCGCTGCAAGCCCCGCTGCGCTGCTGTAGCTCAGGTTCTCCCAGACACGTTGCCTTTCACTAACACATCTTTTAGGTGGAAAAAATTTCTACACAAGACTGGGAAGGCACTTGGAACACATGGGGGTGTTTGTCCCGCCCAGCAGTGTACACAGCGGGGGCAGGGAGTGAGTCAGACACACAAGGCCGTCCCATCCTGCAGCTGGGGCGGGGTAGGGGATCTGGGGATCTGTCGCCCACAGGCCTGAGGCTGGCCCCGAGCTAGGCTGGGGCTCTGCAGCATGGGGTGGGGGTGGGAAGGGTCTTCACAGGTGACAGGAGGGGGCCATATGAGCTACGGACCAGTGCTGTTGTCCCCAAGCAGTCTGGCCTGACGGGGAGGCTGGCGTCCTCCCGCCTCTGTCTCTGAGGCTGAGTTGTGGACGTGGGTTGGCACAGAGGACCTGCCACACCGGTTTGGCCTCCTCTTGACCTGTTTCTGAGCCAAGACTTGGCCTGCAAGGCTGCCCCCTCGTGAGTGCGGGGACAGTGTCCCCGGCAGGGGCGGGGGGAGTAGTGCCCGGAAGGGGCCTGGTGTGGGGCTCGGCCTCAGCCCCACCTGGTAATACAGCACCTTGAGCTGCCTGGTGGGATGGACTGGGGCAATTAGGAGCAAGAGGGATCCTCCCGGCGCTGCCCCGCCAGGCTTCATTCCACAGGCGGCCGTCTCAACAGACAAACACACACACACAGAGGCACTGCGTGACACACACATAAATACAGGCACCGTGTGAGACACACACCCACACTCAGAGGCACTGCATCAGACACACACACACACACTCACACCGGCACTGCCCTCCCCCAGGCTTCATTCCACAGGCGGCCGTCTCAACAGACACACACACACACACACACACACAGGCACTGCGTGACACACACACACATAGGCACTGCGTGACACACACGTAAATACACGCAGGCACCGTGTGAGACACACACACACGCACACCGGCGCTGCCCTCCCCCAGGCTTCATTCCACAGGCGGCCGTCTCACACACACACACACACCACACCCCACCACCTGCAGGTCACATGTGTCTTTATTGCAGCCCAGGGTGTATGCGAACACAGCCATCGGGGTTGGGGTCTACGTTCGCCCAAGAGGGGAGTGGTTTTCACACCTGCTGGCCTCTGACTGCTCTGCAGGCTGCCCCGGGCGGTGGCGGGGGCTTCTGATTAAAATGAACACAGGCCGCCGCTCTGTGCACCTAGTGGACCCTGCCGTGCCACCGTGGCCTCACGCGCCCCTCTTGCCCACAGTGGTGGTCCTGGCGGGGCAGTTCATCATGGTCCTGATCCTCCTCCTGGGAGCCTCTGTGGTCTGCCTGATCCGGGTGGCGCGGAAGAGGCAGGAGCGCGCCCTGCGCACTGTCTGGAGCTCCGCGGACGACAAGGAGCAGCTGGTGAAGAGCACGGGCGTCCTGTGAGCGCCCGAGCCGGCGCGGGGCGGACTGTGTGTCCCGACAGAGCCGTGCGAGCGGCGTGCTCTGCGCTGCTCGCCCGTGGCTCCGAGTCCCTGGCAGGCGGTCTGGCAGCGGCCAGTCGTGTCCTTGTCCGCGTCCTGTCTTTCCTCCAGGGGTGGTGGCCTTGGCTCGCGTTGACTCCCGTTGTCTCCTTTCCCATCACAGACGTGATGTTTTCATAGCTGCTTCATTTGTGTGATTCATGTTTTTTTAAGTAAGCAAAAGCTGAGGGTTTTTTTTTTATTAGGATTCTGAAAGGAAGAAAATAAATTTAATTAAAAGGGCCTATCCTTTTAAAATAAATTCCTTTCAACACGCGCTTTGTTGCTCTGTGAGACTGCTCATTTCAGCTCCGCCAGAATCGTCACAGGGCACTGGGGTGCCCATCAGAGAAGCAGGCCCGCAGGACGTGCTCCGCGGCGAGGTGGTGTTCATGCGACTGAGCGCCGGGGACGCTTCAGCGGCCGGCACCCGCCCTGCGCCTGGTGAACTCTGGTGCGCACTTACCTGTTTCTAAAAATCCTGACCACCACCACTGAGTGGACTTGACTTATTTATTTGGGAGGTGGAGAGATGTACAGAAAGCGAGCGAACTCACATCTGGTTCATGTCCCGGATACCCACAGCGGCAGGCCTGGCCCAGGCTGTGACCGGGAGCCAGGACCTCAATCCAGGAGTCTCATGTGGGAGGCAGGGACTCGGATTTTGAGCCCCTCCCAGGGTGCACAGGAGCAGAAAGCTGGACTGAGTCACTGGAGCCAGGAGTCGAACGCCGGTGCTCTGCTGTGAGATGGCTGAACACCTGCCCGTGCTGAGCGTGGCCACGCCACTGCCGGCTGGCTCAGTTGGGCGGGTCTTGCCCCTGGAGCTCTCACCCAGGCCATCTCTCGGGGTTTGCAGCAAGCAGCGTGGCACAACGTGGCAGGTCCCGAGCCCACTGCGTGAGCACGTGTGCACCTCCTTGGTCTCTGCCCTCGATTCACCCCCGTCTGACCCTTCGAGGGAAGGTTGAGGCTTCTGCCAGCATTTCTGAGACAGTGCCGGGCTGGCATCTCAGCCCATAAATAAAATAATGCCGATCTCAGACCCAGCAGCTGGGTGGAAGCCAAGCTTGGGACTTGCTGGGGGATTGTCAGCCCCTTGGAACCTCCCAAAGGGTGACCCATCGGGATTCTCAGAGGGGCTGGCATGGTAGTGCAGCAGGTGAGCCGCCTCTTGGTGACACTTAGGTCCCGTGTGAGGAGTGCCAGTTCAAGTCCTGCCTGCTCTCCGGTCCGACTCTGCTAATGCTCTGGGGAAGGCAGAGGGTGGTGGCCGAGAGCATGGGCCTGTGCCGCCCACGTGGGAGATCCGAGGGAGTTCATGTCTTCTGGCTTTGGCCTGGCCCAACCCTCGTCCATGCAGCTATTTGGGGGATGAACCAGCTCATGGTTCTCTGTTACTCTGCCTTTCAAATAATAAATCCTTTTTAAAAAGCTGGCATTGTGGTATAGTGGGTAAAGCTGCCGCCTGCAGTGCCAACATCCCGTATGGGCACTGGTTTGAATCCCGGCTGCTCCACTCCAATCCAGCTCTCTGCTGTGGCCGGGGAAGGCAGTGGAGGATGGCCCAAGTGCTCGGGCCCTGCACCCATTTGGGAGGCCCGAGAAAAGCTGGCTTCCTCGTCCAGCCCCAGCCGTTGTGGCCATCTGGGGAGTGAGCCAGTGGGTGGAAGACCTCTGTCTCTCCCTCCAACTCTGCCTTTCAAATCAATAAACAGTTTTTTTTCCTGAGTATTTGTATCCCAGAACGTCAAGGGCCAGAACCAGGTTGGTGGGGGTTAACGGCCAGTACGGTGCTTCTGTCTGGTGGGCACACAGCCTGGCAGCGAAGGGCTGCAGCCCCCATCGGAGAGCTTGGATCCAGGGCCCGGCTCTGGCTGCTGCCGCCAGCCTCATGCCAGTGCCAAAGCCAACTGAAGTAACTGGGTCCCTATTGCCCATGAGAGAGTCCTGGCTTGAGGGACCATCTCCTAGCATTGGCCTGGTCCTGCTCCAGCCATTGAGGGCATTTTGGGGAGTGACATCGTTTTTGCCTCTTTGCCTCTCCATTTTAAAAAGCCAAGTTCTGTATACTGTGTGCCTAAGGCCGCTCTCCAAGGATGTGGTTAGTTTCAGAGAAAACATTCCGGGGTCGGGGATTACACTGTTTACAGGACCGGGAAAGAGACTAAACCATCGCGTGCGGAGTTGGTTTTTCCAGTCAACCACGAGGGCCCTCGGGTGCACGGGAGCCCCGTGGAGGGCCGTCTCCGCCGACAGCCCACCTCCGGAGCGGCCCCCTCAAGTTGGCATCCAGGAATCTTCCTGAGTGGCAGTGGTGCAGTGGAAACCTGAGGGTCGGAGCGTGGGGCTGGGGGCTGTCTGCCTGCTGGAGGTAGTGTCGGAGACGAAAGCCGCCGAGTAGGAGCTGCGTTGCCGCGGCCACAGGCAGCAGGCAGTTTTAGCCTCTGCAGCAAGGCAGCTCCGGCAGAAATAACCAGAAAACGGGAGAAGGCAGAGGCGTTAGGTGCCAAGGCACGACCAGCCGAGAGTACCACCCATTGAGGGTCTGGCCAGAGGGACAGACGGACGCTGCAGACCCTACTCCTGTTGGCCATGGCACATGGAACTAAATGCCAGGGACCTCCCCAAAGAACGGAAGTATGGCCAGTTCTGTCTTTGGAGCACACTCCTGTTTGTCTTGTCCAAGGACTTGCGCATCCACCTTCATAGGCTTTCCGTGGGTAAGGGAGCACTGTCGCCGACAGGCCCCGTGTCCGTTTCTCCTTTCCAACTTTCAATAATGGAAGCCCCCAGGCTTTACCAGGACACTGCTGCCCAGCCAGGTGGCTCATTTCCCAGACTCCCTTGCAGCTCCGTGTGACCGGCTGAGTCCTGGGTAAGTACAAGGGAGCAATGTTCCTTTGCCTGGAACGGGCCGCTGTGGGCAGGCCACCAAGAGCAACACCCTGCAGGGAGGCAGAGGTCGCTGGATGGCCCTGGAGTGCCCGCCCCACTGGCTCTGGTGCAGGCTTTTACGTGAGGAAGGTGATGCTGTCCCTGGGCTCTTCAGTTCTTGTGAAAGCTGCCAGGCCCGAATCCTGACCACCGTACGGGAGCAAGTGGATGGGAGTGGGGCGGGCAGGGCCATCTTCTCAGCCCGTTCACCCACCCTGCAACTTAAGCTCGGAAGTCAAGCTGAGGAGCCGCTTGCGCGGTGGGATAAGCTAGCATCTGCGACGCCGGCTTCCCACGTGAGCGCTGTTGGAGCCCCAGCTCCTCCACTTCCAGTCCAGCTCCCTGCTAATGCACCTAGCAAAGCAGATGACCCAAGTCCTTGGGCCCCTGCACCCACGTGGGAGACCTGGATAGAGTTCCAGGCTCCTGGCTGGGCCATGCTGAAGCCAGAAGCCTGGAAGATTCCAACTCTGCCCCTCAAGTAAATAAAAGATTTAAATAATAATAATAATAAAGGAGAATCCCAGTTTCAGCCTGTTCATGCCCTTGTCCTCTTACCCGTTGCTCCGTCAGTGTTCTCATCTGTAAGATGGGTAGAAGGGGCCAGCAGGGTAAGCCGCTGCTTGCAACACAGCATCCCATGCAGGAGTGCCAGTTCAAGTCCCCGCTCTCTGCTATCGCAGCTGGAAAAGCAGCAGATGATGACCCAAGAACTTGGGTCCCTGCCACTCCCACGGCAGCCCAGCCCCGGGTGAGTTCTGGGCTCCTGGCTTCAGCTTCATGTAGACTTGGCCCTTGCAGCCGTTTGGGGAGCAAACCAGCAGATGGGAAATCTAGTGCTCTCCCTGTCCCTCTTTAAATAAATCTTTAAAAAATAAAATACGGGTAGCAGTAATACCAGCTGTTGCGGACTTAATGCGTTGAGCCTCTCCCACCCCCCAGATTCCTATGTTTGAAGCCTCGCTGTCTGTGGGACAGTGGAGGTGGGAGTTTGGGGAGGCCAGGTCATGAGGCTGCAGCCTTGGCGAGTGGTTGGTGCTCTCCTGAGACAGGAGGGGCCGGCACAGTCGGCACCGGTAGAGTCCCAGCTGCTCCACTTCCAATCCATCCCGCTGCTAATGTGCCTGGAAAAGCAGCAGAAGATGGCCCAAGTGCTTGGGCCCTGCCACCTACGTAGGAGACCTGGAGGGAGTCCTAGGCTCCTGGCTTTGGCCTGGCCCAGCCCCAGCCACTGCAGCCATGTTGGGGGGTGAACCAGCGGATGGCAGGCTCTCTTCCCCCACCACTGTCTCACACTCCCTCTCGCTCACTTTGCCTTTCAAGTATCTTTAAAAAAAAAAAAGATTTTGCTCTTGGTCACCTGAGGAGCCAGGCCTGGGGCGCCTTTGTTTCTCCCAACACCCACTTTCTAAGAACGGAAACAACCCAGCACTTTATAAGCATTTACTTGGTACCTGGTGCCAGTCTAGGAAATCAGTCCACTGGATTCGTACATCCAATGGGGTCGGGGCAGGTGTAGTGGGCCACAGGTTAAGTCAGCATTTGGGAGGCCCAGACCCCATGCCAGAGCACTGCTCTGCTCCCGATCCAGCCCTCTGCCTCTGCCAATGCGTGGTCCACAGGCCCCGCCCGCGGGGAGGCAGCCATGATGGCCCCAGCACTTGAGTGCCGGCCACCCACTGAGGGACACCTGGGATGGAGTTCCTGGCTCCTGGCCTAGCCCCAGCTGCTGAGGCCATTTGGAGGGTGACGCAGCAGATGGGAGATCTCTCTCTCTGTCAAATAATCTTAAAACAAAAGCCCTGGAGTGGCGATTATTCACAAGTGAAGAACAGTCTCTCCACACGGCTGGGCGGAGTGCAGCAGGCTGGCTCCGTCTCTGCCACTCACCTCGACACTGCTCAAGGCCACAGAGGGGCCGTGACCATGAGTTACAGCCCATGACCCTTGGAACGGGGCCTGGCCCAGGCACCTACACCATCACAGTGCACTCGCGTCTGCCTGCCTTGGGGAAGCATCTGATGACAGCTCAGGCCCTTCTCCCCCTAGAAATCCGCAGCTCACCACACATCGCCCACCCCAGTCTCATCCCCAGAGCCCCTCTGGCTCACCAAGGCTGGTGCTGGGAGGCTGCCAACCACCCAGCTTCCCCATTCCCCACAGAGGAAGGGCTGGGTGGGGCTGGGGAGGGGCGGTGAGTCAGAGCTAATGGCCCCGGGGAAAGGTCGGGCAGAACACCCTGCCCCGTCCCCCCCCTCTGAATTCCTAGGACGGGCAGGTCCCACTGCTCCTCCCCCTGCCCAGGCCATCCAGGCCCTCGGGTCACACCTGCTCTCACTACCATGGACTTCAACCTGAAGGCAGGTGCGCTCCTGGGAAGTGGTGGGCTTGGGCTGAAAGGGGTTGGGTGTGGGTCCCCCAGTGGCCAACTGCAGCAACCCACCTAACCTCTCTCCACAGCCCTGGACCCCAAGAAGCCAGGCCACCTGGGAGACCCCAAGCATGGCCCCCCCAAACCTCAGGGCCATCCAGGGGCAGCTCACAGCCCGAAGGTAAGTCACCCTACCAGGGGTAGGGGGGCTGCCTTGCAGACGGTCTTGGACAATCGAGCTTCCGGCGTGGGGGGGGGGGGTTGTGGGGGCCCTGCCTCACTGTCGCACCCCCACCCCATCTAGCACGGCCAAGGCAGCTCCTCAGACTCCAGCAGCAGCTGCAGCGACTCGGACTCGGACGGGAAGGTGAGGGGCCGCCCCCGCCTCCCCAAACAGGCTAGGGTGGGAGTCTAGGCCGGGGGTGGGGGTTGGGTCCGCTGTCCGCCCCGGGACCGCCTGTCTGGTCTCCCACGCGCTGCCCTTGTCCCCGCAGCCCCACGCTGCCGGCTCCAAGCCGAAGGAAGGCGCGGCAGGCAAGGTGAAGAAGCCCAAGGTGAAGAAAGACAAGGAGAAGGACAAGAAGAGCAAGAAGAAGGCCTCCCACTGATGGGGCCGGGCGGGGCTCATTAAACCTTTCTCTGCCTTCCGGCTCCGAGTCCTGCGCTGCCCGCCCCCGCCGGTGCCCCGCGTCCCGAGCCCCATGCCGCCCGCACACGCCCCGTGACAGGACAGGCAGCCCTCGCCGTGCCCATCGGCTTTATTGTTTCTGTAACAGCGGCCGCGCTCGCGGCCTGTGCAGCGGGAGATCTCTCAGCACCTTGGGGGAACGGGGGTCGGGGAGGCCCGCGGACCGGGGCGGCCCCGGGCGGAGATGAGAGCGGAGGAAGGCTCGGGCCGACGCCCTCACCGCACCAGGTGGAAGGTGAGCCAGTACATGAGCAGAGGCTGCGCCGCCGCCACGGCCATGGTCAGGTACATGCGCAGCTGGTTCCGTGCCCCGCGCACCGGGACCCCTTCGGCCGCCGCCTCGGCCAGGATCTTCAGCCGCAGTGTCCGGATCTGGGTGGGGAGAGGGGAGACAGGGGTCAGGGGTTTCCGGCCTCGCGGCTGGGGTGGGACTTCCAAAAGCACCCGGGAGACGGAACGGAACGGGGATCCAGGTGCTAAGGTTTGCTCCAGAGCCGTGTATGGTTTTTCCGTGAAAGGCAGCTGCTTGAGTTTCTGAGGACCCGCATAGGCATGGATCTCAGCATGCTTTTGCACCAAATATCTGTCCTCTCGCCTTTTAGTTCCCCTTCCCGTGAGCTCTTGGAAGCACCTTTGCACTGTCCAGGCCCTGGCTCTTGGCAGCCTCAGGTGTCTGCTCCCTGGGAGGGGCTGGGGGTGGGGCTGAGTTCCATAAGGGTGCCCCGCAGGTGGTGAGGGCTTGCTCCGCCCCCAGGGTGGGTGATGGGCAGGGGGCTCAGCCCTAACTGCCGCCTCTTGGGCTGGCCAGGTGAGTTTTTCAAGACAAGCCGGAAGTGCTGTTTAAGCTTCACTTTAACATGGTGCCATCGGAATCAGAGTGTGCGGGTCCGTTAGATGTGCCACAGGGGAGCTGAGGCTCACAGCCCTGCCCCAGTCCAGCGATGCTTGGGGTCCGCTTAACCAGCACCCCCACTCCAGCTGCGAAGACCCTCAGAACCCCTTTGGGGAAATTCTGGCAGGAAAGCTCACCCAGTAAGGAGGGTGGAGTGAGGGTGACGGCCCAGCTGGGAACCTGCCACGCCCCTAGGTTCTGCCAGGACTCCTGCAGGGACCCCAGCTCACCATGAACACAAAGATGGACACGCAGCACCAGCCCAGCACCAGGTAGTAGCCGATCCTCCCGAACAGCAGGCCCATGAGGACCCCGCCGATCATCCTAAGGAGAGGGAGAGGCTGGGCTGAGAGGAGGCCGGAGGGCTGGGGCTGGCAGCCGGGGGAGGGGCACTCACCCAACATATTTGTAGCCCAGGAAGGCCACCAGGTCGATGGTGGTGAGGTCGGTGTTGACAGTGACCAGGTAGAGGCTGAGCAGGATGGCCAGCACCTCCAGCGTGAGCCAGGCCAGTGCTGAGCTTGCCTGCAGCCCCAGGAGGTCTGGAGAGAACCTGTGGGCACCCACACTCGGCTGTTCATGGGGGTGGCCGGTCCAGACCCTCCCCGAGCATGTGCCCGGGGACAGCCCTTGTTGAGTGGGGCAGACAAGGCAGTGACCAGGACGGATCTGGGCCTGTGCGCAGGGAGAAGGCAGACCCGACCGCGGGGAGCGGGTGGGGAGAGTAGGGGGAAGCCCGGGGCTGTGCCTGGTCCAGTCAGGAGGGGGCGTCAGAGAGCGCTTCCAGGAGGAGGAAGGAGCTGGTGGGGAAGACAGCCCGGGTCTCTGCTATAACCCTGGGGTGGATCAGGCAGAGAGGGGCACAGGGCCAGGCCAGCATCTCAGCCAAGCTCTCCCGCTGCTGCCGGAGTCGGGGTGCAGGGGTGGGGTGGGGCAGCAGTTAGGAGACAGCAGGGACAAGGATGGATGGAGAGGGTCACCTGTCGCTTACACAAGGTGTGGTGACAGGCGGCTGCACGTGGGTAGCAAACAGGAAAGGGGCAGGGGTGAGACGGAGCGCTGCGCTGGGCCACCGGGGGACAAGGTGGGGCTGTTGTGGGGTGGGGGACTGAGGCTTCCCTGCCCCTGTGCCCGCCGCAGGCCTCCCTTACCTGTCCTGGGTGCCCAGGGCAAGGCCGGCCACCAGGATGTAGGTGATGAAAGCCATGGCTGTGGGGACAGACACAGATGCAGGCTGGACACTCCTGCCTTGGGCCTCGGGGCACCCAAGCCCCCGCCCCCAGGGAGGAGGTGCCGGTTGTGGGGGTGGGGGAGGGAAAACCTGGAATGTAGAGGTCCGGAGCATTGACGTCAAAGCGCGGGGCCACGGGCGTGTCCTGCTGGTACTGCACCTCCCAGTCCTGTGGGCAGAGTGCGGGCAGCAGCCAGGACCCTGAGTGGGGCTCCTCCCACCACCACCTGGAGGCCCCAGCTGGGCCCCCTCTCAGCGGGGGTGGTGCTGACCTGGTGCAGGTAGGGGAAGACGAGCAGACCCAGCTTCTTGCCCACATACAGGGTGTCCACTGCGAAGTAGTACTTGAGCTTGGTGACCGGGATGAAGCGGTCAATCTGGGGAGGCAGAGCTCAAGCCTGAGGCCCCGGGACCCCACCCCTCCCACGCCCGCCAGCCCCGCCCCACTCACGTTCTTGTCCACCAGCTCCTTGCCCTGAGCCGCCAGGCTGCTCCCGTAGGCCATGGCCATGTTGGACACGGGGTCAGTCAGGAAGGCGTCCTGGGCTGAGGCGGGGGCTGTGGGGTAGCCCAGGCTGCCGGGGGCCCGGTGAGCCCCGTAGCCCCGACTCTGGGCTGAACTTGTGTCATCGAAAAGCTGGTGGGGGTCGGCCATGCCTGGCTGGGACACGGGGATCCTCCGCTTTGAGGCTGCAGGGAAGAACATGGTGGGGGGCTCACCCGTCCTGCCGGGGCGCTCCTTCCCGCTCCTGGCGCAGGGTGGGTGGCACCAGCGCCGAGCACTGCTTCTGATGTCAGCCGGGCTGGGCTGTCAGGTGCAGGCTCTGCCTACCCCCGTCTATCCGTCCTCCCTCCCTCCACCTGTCATCCATCCCCCACCCACTGCCCATGTGAGTCCGTCCTGCCTCCATCCAAATCTGTCTGTTCATCCATCGTCCACTGCCCATCCATCTCCCTCATTCCATCATCCATGAGTCCATCCATATCTGTCTGTCCATCTCTCCATCCATATCTGTCCATCTGAACACCCACCCATCGTCCAGCCATATCTGTCTGTCCATCTGAACACCCACCCATCGTCCATCCATATCTGTCTGTTCATCTGAACACCCACCCATCGTCCATCCATATCTGTCTGTTCATCTGAACACCCACCCATCGTCCATCCATATCTGTCCATCTCTCCATCCATCGTCCACCCCTCCCTCCCCCGTCATCCACCCAAACGATGATGATGATGTCGACAGCTACTCTGTGCACAAAACCTGCACCAAACCCTCTACAAAGCCTCTGTCCCTTCTCCTTCCACATCCCCCTCGTTCCTCATCTCCAGCCACCTGGGCCTCGCACCGCCCACTGAGCACACCTGGCTTCTGCCCACAGCGCTGTGCCCACTCCTCCCTGGGCTCGGCAGGGCCTTCCCCTTTCCCTGTGGGCTGACACACTGCTCTGTTTATTTTCTTCTCGTCTCCCCCCACACACTGGGAGCCCTTCGGGGGCGGGGGGAATCTTCATCTTGTTCGCAGCTGAATCCCCACCCTCTAGGATACGGCTGGAGTAGGCACTCAGTGAAAACCCAAAGAAAGATAAATGGCCATTTTCACTGGACAGATGTGGAAACTGAGGCCCACACGGCTAAGTGATTCATGCAAAGGACCAAACTGAGTGAGTGGCAGAGCCTGACCAGGCCTGATAAATATTAGGACAATCAAGCCACAGCCAAGCACTTGCCCCTTGCCAGGCTGTCCTTGGAATACTGTGGTTGGTATCATCCCCAAAGAGGTTCCGACCCTTGGCTAGCGTCATCCAGATAGTCTGCGGCAGAGCTGAGCTTCAGACATCTTTGGAAGGTCCCCCGGGCGTCGGGTGGGGAGCGGATGGAAGGAGAGAGGAGGCTACCGAGTGGTCCGGGGAGGTCCGGGTGGAGAGGAGGGGCGCTGGGGAGGGGCTGTTTCTGGAGGGATATGGGGTGGGGGGGATGGTGGGAGTGACCTGGGGGCGGTAGTGCTGCCTGTGTAGATGGGAGGGCGGGAGTTCACACCAGCACCAGGGCCCCTGCTCCTAACCAGTGAGCAATGCTGCCACAGCAAATACAGGAAACTTGTGGAAAAGCAGAATTCAAAATTAAATTGAGAGGAGCCAGGGCTGTGACATAGACGGTTAAGCCTCTGCTTGCAGTGCCGGCATCCCATATGGGCACTGGTTCGAGACCCGACTGCTCCGCTTCTGATCCCGCTCCTTGCTAGTGCGCCTGGGAGGGCAGCAGAGGATGACCCGAGTGCTTGGGCCTCCGCACCCACATTGGAGACCCAGAAGAAGCTCCTGGCTCGGCCTGGCCCAGCCCCAGCTGTGGCCATCTGGAGAGTGAACAAGCAGATGGAAAATCTCTCTTTCTCTCCCCTCCATCTCTTCCTTTCAAATGAATAAATAAACATTTTTAAAAAATTGAGAGACTGGCCTTGTGATGCACCAGGTTAAGCTGCCGCCTGCGACACCAGATCCCATATTGGAGTGATGGTTTGAGTCCCGGCTGCTCCACTTCTGATCCAGCTCCCTGCTAATGCACTGGGAAAGAAGTGCAAGATGGCCCGGGTACTTGGGCCCCTGCCACCCATCTGGGAGACCTGGATGGAGTTCCTGGCTCCTGGCTTTGGCCTGGCCCAGATCTGACTGTTGTGGCCATTTCAGGAGTGAACCAGTGGCCAGAAGAGCTCTCTTTCTCTTTCTCTTTCTCTCTCTCTCTTTCTCTTTCTCTTTCTTTCCCTCCCTCCCTCTTGTTTGCCTCTCAATGACATCTGCCTTTAAAATAAATACATAAATCTTTTTTGGGCCGGTGCC